CTTGATCATGGATATTATATATATATATAATAACAGGGGCGGCGCCAGGGTATTTTCTTAGGGGGGCGAAACCAGGGGCGTGTAGAGGATCACGCGAAGGGGGGGTCTGGGGGAGCACTCCCCAGATTTTTTGAAATTAGACCCCTCAGATGCGTTTTCTGGCGCAGTAGGGGGCGTCCGCGACCCCTGACCCCCCCCCTGTACACGCCCTGAGAACTGTAGACTCTGATACGTGTGCGCTTGCACTGACGGGTGGGGTCCAGGGTAGATCATGATTTCATCAAGCTGCGTACGCAAAATATTTTTCGTAAATCTTGTTGTACGCAATCGACGGTTGCGATTCATCAACACAGCTATTTAGTAAATTTTCGTACGATTTCGCGTACCAAGCGAGGCCGTTTTAGGTGCGATTCATCAAGCTAAAATTTACGTAAACCTTTGCGTAACTTTACACGAGGCTGACGAGGTGCCGTAAACCTCGAAATTTGGCACATGTGTTTCCAGCATACCGCCAGCATGCATTATTGTATTCAGAAAACATTATAAAATTACTACTCAACTAAAAATAAATAATTAATTACCATACTACACAGACAGGGCGGCGCCTTTGACGCTTTTTTTGTCATAGCTTGGCATTGTTTTCGTTAAAGCGAGTTCGTAGTTAGCCGGTACGTGCACACGCCGTGCGCACTTGTACGTGCACACGCACGCACTGTACGTGGCACACAAGCACGCAGCGTGTACGTACACACGCACGCACGCACGCCGTGTACGTACGCAAGCACGCACGTGTACGTGCACACGCACGCACGTGTATGTGCACCACACACGCACGCACGCATGTGTACGTGCACACGCACGCACGCACGCGTACGTGTCGCTGCTTTCATCGAGTGTTGAACACAATCATACAAACGAAAATGAGGAGGTGCTACGCCTGCGTTGATGAATCGCACCTACAGCTTTGGCGTACGTACTTCGTAGAACTCTGTTGTACGCAATACACTTTGCGCAACTGTTGATGAATCCAGCCCCAGGGGCCCGCCTTAGTGCCCCTGGCAGGTCGGGGCGGTCGGGGAAGCTCTCAGAGTTTTACCTAATCAAAGCCTCAAATTGCTGACAAAAAAATTGTGCAGGAACAAGGAGCAACACGATACCAAGGAGATGAACCCCGGGGGGGGGGGACTCACCCCACATATGGTAGGTATATCTGGGTATGTGCCACTGTCGAAGTTAAAAAGGGGGGGGCTCTAGAACTAACTCAGACTCTGA